TCAGCTGGGAGATGGGCATATGTGCAAAAGGCAGTGACTGGCTTCCCTTCCAGAGGATCAGTTGCTGCCTCTACGCATGCACCGGACTCTCCCTGATCATCCTGATCAGCTGGTACATGCCCAGAGGCAGCAGGCCCAGCTGGTTCCTAGCTCAGTTCATGCCCATCTTTAGTTTAGGCTGTTGTATCTTGAATTAACTTTCTTGAAGGCTGTCATTTGTTTTAAATGCTTCAACCTACTGTATTGTGGGACTAAAGGCCCACATGTTTATGCAGAGCCTACCTTAAGACCGAGAGAAACCTTAATAGTTTTTTCTCTCACACTGTGAACACTCAAAACAGTAATACCAGTCTTTTCCTCTTTTTATGATCTATGAATTCAGATTAATAAGTTTGAAAAAAACTGTTCCAAAAAGGTCTTATGGTAGCGATGAATGCCCTCCTTTCCTCATACTAGAAACCATTCCATCTGCATCCTGAGCCTTGGCCTCATCTCCTTTTTCCACCTCACCTTTTTCACGCTGATGGATGTTTCTATACCAGGACGAACATTAAAACCTCCGTCATCCATGAATGCAGGTTCATTCTGATTATGAACCATCACTCGAGCTCCTGTCACAGTGGACAGTAGTGGAATAAAGTCATTTTCTTCTGTCCGAACAACAAGGGAGAGGCCTGTGGAGACAAGAAAGCAAGGAAGGTGAAAACCAGTCGCTGGAATAGAAGATGACTGTGAGAGTGCAGTGAAACTACTGAAGATTAGTAGAGAGGCTAAGGAAAGCGTCTAACAAGTTTGGGAAGCTGAAGAATGCTCAGAATTGCATTTCAGGCAAACAGACTGCTAGGCCATGGTGGATTTTCAGAGACCCACAGATGTTGGTGGAGCTGAATTTCAATGAAGATGGCAAAACCATTTAGGACTATACCACGTAAGACTGTTCCATAGTGAGACGACCATGAGCAATGGAAAAAACCCTGCCTGAAGAAGTGAGATTTACTCATGAAAGCTTGCAATTTGTATGATTTTTTAAGTGGGTCAATAAAGATACTGTATCACCTTACTCTTGCATTTTTGTATGTAATCTGAAGCACACATACTTTCCCTAATTCCTCCTGCACATAGTTTATGAATGATCCTTCCAGATGGTAGGCTCCTTCTGCCTGCTACAAATGGAAATGCAGAACTTGCAAATGTTAATCTGACTACAACTTCCAGATTCCCCCATCGTGGCTGTAGTTGTTGTAGTCCAAACAAGTTGCGTTTCCAAGCTCTGTTAAAAGGCATTATATACAGCAGTTTCATGTTTTCCTCTTTAAAGGGTGGTCCGAAGAAGAAATGATGAAAGAACCAGTGGAGAGAGAACATTTGGACCCATGCTAAAATTCTACCAAGAATGAATAAAATCATCTTCTTGGAAGCACCTTAAATGCACAACAGATGAGCTGTACCCTACTTCATCTCCTACATTGCTACATTAGCCATGTCAGGGACCCTTCTACCATGGAGGAACCTTCATTTGTAGCTTTCCTTAACATGTACTCATCTTTTAAACCATGCTCAGGAAAAGGACAGCCTATCTGGGTTACTCCAAGGTCTGCAGTCTAGCTGCCTTACAGAAAATGAGCAGAACTACTAGCAGCAGTGGCGTCCATTTGAGGCATTTTCAGAGCACATATTAGCTGCTGGCATTTCTCTATATGTTAACAAAAGGGAAGGCGAGGATATGGATAAAAAAACAAGACACTCACTCATCACCACATTCTGTGCATGTGCTCACCGTTATTGATTCCGGGCATAGAGGACATCCAGGGAGTGCTACTGTTGTCGTTGAATGTATAGCAGTTCCCATAAATGGGGTGATGGAAATGAGTGTAATTCCTGCAAGAAAAGAGACGAAGCCCTCTAGTAACTGAGCCACTAAGGAAACTTGAAATACAGCTATGTTGGTCTGTCAGTAAAACCATGAATCCAGCAGCAGCACCACAGTACTTTTATTGTACGGATCGACAACAAAAAATTTCAGTGGCTCTCAGAAGTACTAAACCGCTTGTTGACAAGGAGGATGTGCATCTTCTGGTTTCAAGGAAGGGAAAGACCCTTTTCCCTTCCATTTTTGGGAGAGGCCCCTAGAGGTCAGCAGCACAGACCAGTACCCCAATGAATTTAGGGGGAAGTTAAGAATGTTACCCATCTTTGCTTTATTGGAATCAACTTTTTAAAAACAACAACAAAGGAGTGAACCACCTTTTGGATTTGAGAGCTTTCTAGCAGACTGGGTGTTAACCCCCTCAGAAGGAGAGCAGCAGAGGAAAGTGGCATTGCTTCCTGGACAGGAGAGAAAGTCCTATGCTTTAATTTAATTAGAATTATCCTAAAATGCGGGCAGGGTGGCCTTGTTCAGGCCAATCCTTGTCTCTTCAACCTAGCAAGCCTTTCTGCAGTCTGAGACCTGTCTGAACCAGCAAGCTGTGACAGTGCTTAACCTGCCCTCCATGGGAGTTCAACCTTACTGTGAAGTGGTGGTCTGAGATTTTCATCTGCCCAGCAACATCTCTCTCTCTCTCTCTCTCTCTCTCTCCCTTTCCCATACTTTATGTGTGTGTATTGCATCCAGCCTGAAGCAGACTTTTAGTGAACTCGGAAGTCCTGTTACTTTTCAGTGCTTGAGTTGTTTATGCAAGTACCTGGTTTGTTTTTTGTTTGGAATTTTAGTTCAGTAGCTGTAGGACTCCAGTTCCAAACTTGACAAGTGTAGGACAGCTGGCTGTATAGCTCAGTGGTTTAGGTATATGGTTGCAGAACCAGAGGTTGCGAGTTTGATTCCCCTCCTGGGAGAAGAGCCAGCCTGTGTGGCCTTGGGCAAGCTGCACACCTGCAGGGTGCCTCCAGAAAAAGGGAAGAGCAAACCACTTCTGAGAATTCTCTATCTAGGGAACCCTAAAAAGGGTTGTCACAACTCTGGTTTTTTTTTTAAAAATAAGAATAACCAGTACACTAATTTTGCCACTCTGTCATCTCTAATTTTGTAATCTGTGCAATTTTTGGACAATCACAGATAAGGTGTGACACAGTTTCATCTTTCTGTTGGCAGATATTTCTTGTTAGCACTAATTATTATTATTACCCTGTTTCCCCAAAAATAAGACCTATTTTTGGGGACCTGAAAATAAGCCCTAGTAGGATTTTTCAGGAAGCTCGTAATATAAGCTCTACCCCCAAAATAAGCCCTAGTTAGGTGAAACCCCGCCCTCCACCATGGTGCAGCAACCAGAAGATGACATGACTGTATTTGAATAAATGTAG